CGTGGGACCATCCCAACGCCACTTCACTGGTGGGTGGTCAGGCTCTGGGACAACCCGAGGGTGGGTTGTGGTGCGGGAGCCCAATGTCTCCGGGGTAAATGCTCTCCGTGGGGGTCAGCCAGGCTCCCCTGCCTCTCCTCCCCCATTTGGAGACCGGGGGGCCGAGGACCAGGATGCGGATGAAAGGTGTGGGCAGGCCAGGGAAACTCACCTGAAGGAAGGGAAACTCCTTTCTGCCATAGAGCCTGTTGGCGACGCTCAGCTCATAGGCGTCGGTGGGTTTGTTTAATTCAGTCAGAAGCTTTTGAAAGTGATGATTTTCTGGATTTTCAGCCTTCAAACATCAAAACGAGAGCTCATCAGTTTCTCTTGATGGAAATACTAAACCCACCTACGTTTGTCAGATCTGTGCCTATATTTTGGCATCCCCTCAGTGATGTTTGTTGTTATTCTTCAATTTTGGTGTATTTTACCTCAAATATCCTTCCAAATCCTTACATTCAACCTTCTCGGAAATTCCTGCTGCTCTAACATACTCCAAACGTTTCTCCTTTGAACCAGAGATGCAGCACCATTGCACTGCTGGCTGTGCCTTCATTGTCTCTCAGTCAGATCTGGCTTCCCAGGTAACCCTAAGGGCTAGAACGAGACTGCATCCTTAATAGTCACCAGTGGTACAGGGTGTCTATTTTGTGTCATTTCCTATGTTGTGACTCGAAGCCCCCTTGTACTTCTTGGTGCGATTACCTTCCAAGACCTACAGAATGTACTCAATGGCTGTTCACTCACGACCACCACACTCTGGCTTAGGAGCCATGTGTGGCAGTTACACTGCTAACAGCTTTGCATCAACATCTCTTTATTTAGTCCAACTGAGATGAAATCAGGAAAGCTCATGGGATGGGGGCTTATGATGTCTGGCCCCTATAGATCCTTGAAAAAAGTCAGGGAAGTGCCTCGTTAATTATAATTTAATTTATAATTAATTTATAATTTAATTTATAATTAAAAAAATTTCTCTGGAGAAACAATGTAGCAGAGCCATGTTTTCAACTCAGGCCTGTCTGAATCCAGAACCTTCTACTTGCTCTAAAAGTTATGGGGCATTTGGACTGCATACCAGAACTCTCATTCAATCATTTTCCAAAGTATAGCTGAACGTATGGTTGCTCTTAATTTTACTTATGAGCTAAGTAAAATTATGTAATTTTAGTAACGTATTGTGATTACCATCATTATGGTTATTATAATAACAGTATGTATCACCTAGCAGGCTTTTTGTTGTCCAGGCACTGCTGTCATGTTTTGCATGTGTTTGCATGTACAGCAGAAATCTTTCATCGGGATGAGGTCTCTGAGGCCCAGAGTAGTTGTATTTTGCCACGTTCCCCATTTGTGAAGAGCAGAGCAGGAATTCGAAGCTACCTTTGGGCTCCAGAGCACATGCTGTTAAGCAGAAGC